CAGAAGATATCGCTGTAAATGTTCGTATGGTACTAAGGGTGAACGCTGTCAAATAAGAACCAATGATCGATAAGAKTGATATATCGTAGCTTAAAGTCCAACCACGCCCAACGACTTAATGTCATTAGCCAGTAGTTCCTTAGCAACGATACCACATTGATCGTCATTCAGGAAAGTAAGGCTGACGTCGGGAAGTATAGATTTCAATCAGGGGAAAAATAAATTACTTCAAGTGGCTCTATCGTCCCAACCTGATATGCAAGAGATTATCGTTGCTTGTCTCAATGATCCAAAACGTTTTCATTCATTTCTTATCAAACAAGTGTGGACATTACACAGAAGGGCGAGTTGCTTAAACCTCGATTAGCCGTTTAATAGAAGTCCGTGAAACTTAGTGTTTTCACATCTGAAATAACAGAGCAGATTTACATATATATTAGTGACAAAAACTACGGCACTTTGAGATCAACTGCTGTTTCAAATATAACTCTGTGTATTTAATGGAGGCATCTATCTTCAGCACCCTCCCTTGCTATCGATCTAGTGTGTACTAAGAATTACTCCATAAACCAATGATATTTGTTCTTTATCCAGTATTGAACATTTTAATATTGAAACTAGGTCATAAAAGTGTCTTAAAAATGACCTTGCGTCTTGTGTGGTTATTTTAGCTTTAGATTTGTCTTGTGTCTTGATTTTACAGAAGCGCGAATAAATATTTTGTTAAATGCGTTTCCTTGCGTATTTTGTGGTTATTCAGTAGCTTTAGATGTGTCTTTTGTCTTGATTGGTATATGAAATAAAGATGACAGTTGTCAAGTTGCTTGTGTATTGACTTTCATTTTTATGAATTGTTCTGGTTCAGTGATATTTAGCAGTTATTCCACGAAATCGAGTCGTACATCAGCTCGTAGCCAACGAGGCGTAAAAAAGTGGAAAAAAACTAACTACTATTAGTATAAACATACTAATGGTCTATCACTCATACTGCGCTGTGATTGGCTAGTCTACTAATGGTCTAATTTATGATAGACCACTAGCGGGAAAATCAAAATGGCGGCATATCATTAATAAATGATTTTAAGGATATTTCAATTTGTTTTCATTATTTGACCGATTAGTATGTTTATACTAAAACAATTAGACCTCTCGGCCTCGTGGACTACGAGCTAATAGCCCATTCGGCCTCGCGGACTCGGCCTCATGGGCTATTAGCTCGTAGTCCACTCGACCTCGAGGTCTAATTGTTAAATANGTGGATACTTGTGATCGCTGACCTCAACCTGCTGCTATAAACGATTTATATTCTCATTTGATTGGCTGTTATTTTATTTTGATATATATTCACACGAACAAATTCGGAACCTTAGATTTTACTTGATAARACATTTTTCGCGAATTATCATTATTATGACTGCCATTTGACAGCAAGTYGAGTCCTTGACAACAAACAATGSAAACCCACCACTTTTCTTTTCAATGATCATCAGTGAACTCAACAACGTCCGGTAAGTACGCAAAGATTTCAGTTTGTTTAAGTCTTGATAACGCAATGCTTATGTAACCCACTTAAAACAGCTAAGATTCTAAAAGCTAGGTCTGTATTACATTGATTGACACTTTGAACGATCCAGCCAAATTTTGACAATAATTGTCTGAGGATCCTGTCAAATGTTGTTAATAGAGTATAATAGATTTTTTCTTGTCAGCAGGAGACGAAGTTTTCACGATATGGAATTATAAATTTGTCTATATTGTATTCTTATTTTGTTTGGGCTTAATCTGTTGGGTAAAAATGGATCAATTTTGCTACTGAAGATCAGTGTTATGGTTCGTTTAGATACTTGATGTGTTTTCTATTGGTAAATAAAATACTGTCGTTCATAGCTCAGTAAAGTATAGATAAGTGTAGTGGTTTGAAGATATGAAATAAAATACCGGGATATGCAAAGAGAAAAGCATATAACACGGGGAGTAATTGGAACCCTCTTCTTCCTGGAACCCCCCTCCCTTTCCATTTCTTCCCCTCCCCCTGAGGAAGGAGCAACGCATGCTAAACATCAACCAATCCTTTATTTTGATGTTATAAAGGAAGTCATTTTTCTTACGAGAGCCTCTTTACATAACTTATTCTAATGTTAACTTGCTCAAATAGGAATGAATTTAGATCATAAATTATTAGAAGAGTACTTAACCATGTGGGATAGGCTGGACAATCATATCACAGCGTGCATGCGCAATRTAAAAGCTCGTGATTTGCTTATCAAGTGCGTAKATTTTCTACGATATATGTATCTTATTTGAACCCAAATTGAAAATATGTTTTTTTCCACACAGGCTAYCAAATATGCTGGTCATAATACTTTTCCTGGTTGCCTGCGATACTACTTTGGCWGGTAAATATCTCTGAGGATATCATCTACWTTTTTCAGTGATTGTAAATCATTAGTTCAATGGCCCTTTCCATYGAAAGATGTCATCAATTTACTCAGTAATTGAATTAATGCTGTTATATTTTATTGCTGTAGAGTACAAACACTAAAACTGTGCAACATAAATACCACTAAATACTGCTAAATTATGCTAATTCTATTGTTTTCCATTGTTTGATTAACACTATTTTGTAGTAAATAGTGTAAAGTATTGCACACATTTAATGTTTGTACTCTACTAATTTCACATGGAAACCTGGCGCTTCCTCCATATATTTCTTGTAAATCATCTCAATAGAAG